AACCCAAAACTCACAAGCCAACTATTAATGAAGCCTATCCAGACGCAAACGACACATCATGAAACAACCCTTGAGAGGACAAGCCTTATAAACCCCAAACCCTCTAAACACCAAGCTCTCAACCCTGAACCTTAAGCCCCAAGCCCTAAACCCTAAACCCCAAGCCCTAAGCCCTCAACCCTAAACCCCGAGCACCAGGTCCGAGCTCGGCGAGGTGGCTTCTCACCTGCGGCGTTCTGCGATGGCGACCCGGCCGGGCCCCAAGTAGTGGTGGTAGCAGTAGTAGTAGTAGTAGTAGTAGTCGTCGTCGTCGTCGTAGATTCTCAAAGTCTCAGTTGGCTGGTCTCAGTTCTTGCCCAGAGCCGTCACAGCTCGACCCCGAACCCCAAACTCCAAGCTATAAGCTCTGAGCCTTACCAGAGAGCCCAATATCCTTTATTTAAGGAATATAGCTCAAAACATAATATGAAGTCCCTTATAATTTAAGGTTTATTCCTTAATTAAGGAGTATTGGGCTCTGAGCCTTATTCCTTGAGCCTTAAACTCTAAGCCGCAGACCCTAAAGACTCAAACTTGGCCCTGAACCCTAAACCCTAAGCCCTAAACCCTTAGCCCTAAACCTTCAGCTCCCAAAACCGAAGCCGAAGAAGCGCTCCCAGAGACTCCAAAACCCTTTAATTAAAGAATATACCTTAAACTCTAATAGGAGTCCTACTATGATTTAAGGTATATTCCTTAACTAAGGGGTTTTGGAGTCTCTGGGCTACCCTAAACCCTAAACCCTAAACACTAAAAGCCCTGAAACCCTAAACCCTAAACCCTAAAGTCTCTGGGCTTTGGTTCTTTGCTCCTCGCTCTCGCGCTTGCGCGCGCGCGCGCGCCATGGAGCTCTTGACGGTGCACGTGAGGCTGCTGTCCGGAGAGGCCTGGGCTGAAACCCTAAAAACCCTAAAAGCCCCAAGCCCTAAACACCCTAAGCCCTAAACCCTAAACCCTAAACCCTAGACCCTAAAAGCCCTAAACCCTAAAAACCCTAAACCCTAAACCCTAAAAGCCCTAAACCCTGGGCTTCGGGCTTCGGGCTTTGGATTTGGATTTAGGGTTGAGAGTTGAGGGTTGAGGCTCTAGGCAAGTACTCATAGCAAAAGCATACTTTTATTTTGGTTTCTCTCTCTCTCTATATATAATATATATATATATATATATATATAATAGTTAGTAGTCCTTACCATGGTAGGAGTTTTGGATCCAGGTAGGCCCTACGCCTCAAAATCTAAGCATGAAGCCGGAGGCCTCCAAGCCCAATTCTTGAGCCTTGAGCCCTTAAAAGCTCCAAAACCCTTTAATTAAAGAATATACCTTAAACTCTAATAGGAATCCTAATATGATTTAAGGTATATTCCTTAATGAAATCCCAAGGCCCGGAGCCAAAAAACCGTCCCGAAACCCCGCTGGCAAAACTGCGCCCCCCAAACCTGAAGGTCAGAGCCCACTTGACATGCCCGGAGCCCTAAACCCCGAACCCTAAATCCTAAATCCTAAACCCTAAACCCTAAACCTCGAACCCTAAACCCTAAACCCTAAATCTCGAACCCTAAGCCCCTAAACCCTAAACCCTAAGCCCCTAAACCCTACGCCCTAAGCCCCTCAACCCTAAACCCTAAGCCCCTAAACCCTAAAGCCTAAGCCCCTCAACCCTAAACCCCTAAACCCTAAAGCCCTAAGCCCCTAAACCCTAAAGCCTAAGCCCCTCAACCTGGAGTCTTTGCCGGAGAGGTTTGCGCTGAGCGACGAATGCCTCGGTGTGACCGCGTCGAATCGGACCTTCGGCTGCGTCTGAAGAGTCCGAGGGTTTAGGGGTTTGGGGGTTTAGGGTTTAGGGTTTAGGGTTTAGGGTTTAGGGTTCATGTGGGACTTTCCAAAAATAGGGGGTACCTTGTTTTGGGGTCCTTATTATAGTGATCCGATTATTTAGGGTACTATATTAAGGTCCCCTATTTTCGGAAATAAGGGTCCCTTTTGGGTTTAGGGTTTAGGTTTAGGGGTTTAGGGTTTAGGTCCCCAATATAGTACGGCACCCTTATAAAAAGGACCCTAAAAGGGACCCTAATTTAGAGAACTACCCCCCTAAGCTCCAAACCGCAAGGCCTAAACCCCGAGCCCCAAACCCCAAGCCC